TTTTTTTTTTTTTTTTTTTTTTACATCTCCTCAGCTTTCCAAGGCCTTACCTAAGGAAATTTAGCTCTATATCTCAGAACTCAACATGTTAAAAGCCAGCTGGTGAGATGGCTCAGTGTGTAAAGGTATTTGCCATTCAAGTCTGGCAATCTGAGTTTGAGTCCTGGAATTCACATAAAAGTGGAAAGAGAGAACCAATTCCACAATGTTGCCCTCTGAGTTCCATACATGCACTGTGGAATTTGTGAGCCACTTTCCTCGATACCATACACACATAGTCAAAAATCTCAGCTCTACACCTAGACACACCTTTGAAATGACAACATGATGGTGTCCTTCTCTTTTTTGTTTCTAAGAAAAGATACTTCACTGGCTCAGAACCACAGAGATGCTTTTGCACGGGCAATTTCTTTCCCAGTAATGTGCCTAAACTTCAAATGATCAGTTAGGGGAAGGTCAACACAATCTAGATAGCCCCTCAATTTGTAGGAGGACTAACCACCAGTTATTTTAATCCTGCCTCATTCTGTTTTTAACCCCTTCCCCCTTTTAATTTATTTTTGTAATGTAAAAAATTACCACAAGTTTTAGATGAGTATAGTGGTGCATACCTTTAATACCAGCACTCATGACGCTAAGGCCAAAGAAAGTTAGTAAGACATACATAAGAAAAAAAAATAGGCCCAGAATAAGGCAGAGGAACAAACACGAATACTGAGGGTGAACAAACCAAATTGCTTAGGAAATTGATTACAATGAAAGGGAATGTCCCCGAGTTGAGTGTAAAAACCTGACAGGACTCACCAAGATTTAACAACTAGGGCATAATGCTAAGACATTTACTTCAACCCCTAACTCAAAGGTTGGAAAAAACAATACATTTAAAGGAGAAAGAACTCAAAGTAGATGATAGTGAATGGGACACAGAGATGTGCTCAGATGTGCATTTTTAACCCCTAAAGAGAAAGGCTGCTGCTCGTCACATGACAGTCCAAAAGGTTAAAGCATTAACAGTCGGGGTACAATACCATGAGGTGTAGAGCACCGGATATGCCTTTTCTTATTCAAGCCTCACACACTGTCACTCAGAGATATATGACTCAGTGTGTGGCAGCAGCGCGCTCTGAACTCAGGTGATTATCTTTCAATCCTAAGTCATGCCACCCGAGGTTAATAAACTACCCACTATTTGATATGTGCCTGGCTAAGCCAAGCCAAGCTGTTACTCATTTGAAAGCTTTATAAAAACATTCTGGCATGGAAAAGCTTAAAAAGGTCATCTCCACTCTCAACACTGTCAAGTGCTCCTACAAACAGTTCAAGTGTTGAGCCTGTCCTACAAAGACAAGTGGCTGAGAGCCTTAGAGGGAAAGAGCAGTTGATATAGCACCACAAGTAAGTGAAATAACTGAGTTTAATTGTTTCAAAAGGAAGCAATGACAACTGAAGGGTTGTAGAGTGAGGTGGTTAAATTACCACAAGAAAATACACTTTGAGGACCAATGCAAAATTTCTGAGTTCTGGTGTGGCTGTGAATAAATTCTACTATACTTCTCGGTTCAGAATTCTCTCATTGTTTTCCACTGTCTGGAGATTAGGGTCAAATGGTTTATTAAAAGACTCGGGGCCACTCTTTCAGTCCTTCTAGCACCTTCTATATGGACCATTCACCAGCCATGTGGGAAGACATGCCTTTTCATCAGTTCTTTGCTTGAAGCTAGCTAGCTCTGTGTATATAAAGTGTTCTTTTGTTGGAGTTTTTTATTTTGGGGGGGGGGCAAACTCCACTCATATCTAAAGACCTAAGTTACAAACAAATATGATAGGGGATTAATATCCTACTTGAATAAACACCACGTATTAAGCCAACCAAAAGACAAAGACCACAGTAAATCAATGACTAAAACCATGGAACAATACTTTACAGGTGAGTACACAGAGACTGAATTTACAGAGACAGAGGTGTATGAATGGCCAGCCCCAGGCATCATCCAATACACACTCAAACAAAGCACCACTTTTCTGGTCTTTAGTTAACAACATATTTAGAAAAAGTCAAGGAACTAGTCACTCTGCTGGGAATAACAGCTAGTACTGCAGCATAATAATGGGTAATAACTCAAGTTTAACCTGCAAAATCCACCTTTGTGGATCTATGCCATGGAAGTAACCTGGAAGAAGTTATATGCATAATGTTCATTACAGATATGTATGCAGTACAAATAGAAAAAAATACATGTTCAACACTGCAGAAGTGGCTATATAAACTAAGACACTATGCTTTTGAGAGAAATATTTTCAAAAGAAGTCACAGGTCTAAAAGTGTGAAGTGAAAATTTGCTCCTTTCTATTCTGTCCCTTTAGGCAAGCAGCTTTTTATCTGCAATCAATGATCAGTTTCTTTTTTTT